GTGTGTGTGTGTGTGTGTGTGTGTGTGTGTGTGTGTGTGTGTGTGTGTGTGTGTGTGTGGCGTTTTTCACCACAATGTGCCAACTAATTGAAAATGTTTAGACAGATCCTTACATCACTACTAAAAAAACTTTGATGGTAATCTAGTCTTTTTTCTAGGGTTACTAAGGGGTTGTTGTGTATATATATCAGCTAATGAAATGTGTTATCAGACATTAGATGGGTTGCTATGCAGCTTGTTTAACTCAGTGATTGTCCTCTGATAATGCCTTAGTAAGCATTTAGAGCATTATAAGTTAAAATGCCTATTTCCCCACATGTATATTAAAACTATTCCTGATGTGATACTCCAAATTGTTGCCATTGTGGGTCATTAACGTGACTCATCACTGCGCAGCACTTTTTCTTTAATCTGAAGTCGATCAAATCTCTCTGGCCTTATTCACCTTCAGAAGTAGACGAGTTCTCCCAGAACCTTCCACAAAAATAATCCACTAGTGCTTCCTACTCCTCCGCCTTCCCATCACTGACACATCCAACCACTGCAGAACTGTCAGAGTCTTTCTGTAGGTGGCATGACCCAGAGTTATGGAAAGCGTCTGAGGTGTACAAGGTGAACAGGAACGGAGAAAGTGTAGTCCCCAGAGGAGCTCCCGCACTGCACATCGCCAAATCAGGCAGAGCCGTATCTAATCTCACAAACTGCAGTCAGTAGCAGTGGCTGAATCATGTTAAATGCACTTGAGAAATCAAAGAAGGTGACCCTCACCATGCAATTTCTGTCTAGATGGGAGGACACTCTCTGCAGCATGTAGGTAATAAAACTGTGATGCTGTGAAGCTCAAGTTAAGGATTTTAAATAGCAGCATTAAAATAATTGCGCAGGTTTTTGGATCCACAACTTTTCCTGATGTAGCTCCTAGTCAGGGAGGTGAGAAACCCCCTCCCACCTGGTTACTCAAAGAGAAGGAACCTTCAGAAGTTCTTTGTGAAGACGGTGCAACCTGAGTGAAGGTTGACTGTTTCATTTTATTCATCGAGCCTTTATGGCAGAGCATAGGGTGGCAGCATCACGCTATGTGGGTGATTCGAGGCTGTAGGAACAGGTCAGAATTGATGAAAGCATGAATGTGGTGAAATACAGAGTCTTTAAAGACCTGTTGCAGCCCTACTTTTATTTCTGCAAATGCTCCACTCTTTTTGGCCTTCTTATATGACTTACTTTCTTTTCTTTTGTTCTTTTTCTTAGGATGTCCAGAAATAAAGAGGCTGGGATAGACCAGAACATCACACAACAAATATTAGACTTATTTTTATGGGCTGCTTTGTTGTCATTTCTTTTTCACTCTGTGGCATGCGTTGCATTAAGTAAGTACCTTTTTTTGGGATTCCATCAGAAGAGCGATTAATATGATGATGAAGTACATCCAATGCAAACTGCTGGCTTTTAAAATTTTTTTTTCCTGAAACAGAGACTGTTATTTTTCTTCAGTTAGTTTTTGATATTCTTCTACGCGACTTCAGCAGAAGTCATGTATTACAGCTGATTTGCATAAGTGTTCTCTGGCTGCTGACATTGCTTGAAATTTCTGACCGCTTCTCCATGTGAAATTCCTTCTGTTGCAACATGTTTGCGGCTTTTCTTGCATGTGCTGCCCATTCCGAATCCCCCACAAGATTTCAGTGGGATTCAGATCTTGGCTATTTCACAACCCTCCATTTCTTCTTTTTGAGCCATTCCACGGTGGATTCACCAGTGTCCTAAAGATCCCTCTTCTGCTTAAACTTCCATTTCTGGTTTAACTTTCAGACTTTTCACATAATTGAATCAATGACCAGAAGCTGCTCTCCTCTTTGCCTGTATGTTACATGAGAGCATGCAAAGCCTCTACCAACTTGCTCTGGCCAGAAATCTGAGCCTTTCCCTCAGGCTAGTTTTGGCATACAAAGCCATTCTCTCCGTCTTTGCATGCTTTCCATGCAGGCAGAATTTTAGAAACATGGACTTTGACATCAACACTTACAAGAGGAAGTCCTCTGATGACATTTTGGGGTTGTTGTGAAGACTCCTTTTTGTTTCTTTTTTCCCAGGCAAGCCATTTTTTTTCTTTTTTAACAGTGAAATTAGTCATTTGAAATAATGTGGTGATATCTGAATAAAATGCCTCATTAAACTCACATTAAAGTCAAATGATTTGCTGAAGGTCTCTTCAGAGCTTGATGTGGCAACAGCAAACACTTCAACAGCAAAAAGGACGGCAGACCGGCGATGTCAACAGTTTATATAAGAAGTTTGCAATAACAGGACCCTGGGCTGGAATACCTGAATGTGGATCTGACTAATGATGGTATTTTAAAAAATACAATACTTACTGGAATCATGGAAATACTTCAGGTTGTCTGATGTTTCTTTCTTTTGACTGTCACTTTTATCTATCCTGTTTCTGTTTCTAAAACGATCAAGACTTTGCTTTTTCAACTATACAGCGAAGCATTGATTTCCATGAGATGGAGTGCGTCACATGACTGTATACTTGTGGGTTTTATTTTGGCAATAATGATATACTATGTGTTATAGAAACTGAATTAAAGAAACAAAACTTTACTTTCATAAAAAAAATATCTGAATACTTTACTCAGCTTATATACTTTCACAGTACTTTACCTTAGTACTTCACTTTTCAGTTGTTTCATTATACATTTTCAGATGATACACTGACTACGGTATACTAAATTTCAATTATTTGAAACTTTAAGGTACTACTTACATCATTTCTTTGGCAATACATTATAATAACCGTTATTACTAAAGGGTAAACTGACATTAACAACAACATAAATATTAGGGCTTACTTACTGGTAACAGTTGTCTTGTAGGAAATTATTGTCATATGCTATGTATAAGTAGGCAGGGGTACTGGGACCGCCATACATTACAACACTGGGGACTGCAGTTTGTGTCCTGTTTAGTCACAAAAGCAGTTGTGTTCAGATTGGAATTTGTCCACTGAATCAAAACACAATGAATTTACAGTAAGGTCAGTCTCACTGATCAGTAATATACAAAACAGATAATAACATTTGTAATCATTAACCAAACACAGAACACAGTGTATAAAGTGTTATGTGTACAGATGTCATTGTCTCATATCATCTATGATGCAACACAGTTTATAACTCATATATAAACCTGTAACAAAGATACTACTAATAATAGCATAACTAACGACTGGCAGACCAGAATATAATTATTCATTACAAAATGACAAAATAAGCAGTGACACCGTTCTGTACAGTAAAGTGTAATTAACTAAAAATGTATTAGCAGTGGTTATTACAGTGTTATATATCACTGAGGAAATTCCCAAACTGCTTATAAGTGTACAAGGTACTTAAAAAACACCTTCACCAGCTGCATCATTTAAGTGATGTACATATTAATTAATCAGAAAAATGTATTTTTTGAAAGTATGCCTTTGGTTTGATGTTTAACTACAGCAGTTTTGCTTATTTTAACAAATGAAATCATGCACACAGTGCTGAAAACACTGAGCTCACGTATCGACGATTCCAAATTGCCCTTTTCTGTTGGTCTTACTCAAATATCTTTCTAAATCACAGTTTTGCAAACTCAAATTGCATCATTTAGCACGCTCTGTTCACCTAGGAACACTGGGCTTCAAAATGCAGATTTCCAATTACTCATTCTGCATTTATGCAAAGTCAATCGGAAGAACATTTCAGTATGTGTCAGAATACAAAAGGGATCTTAAGTGACTCATCCAGGTGTTAGGCAAGAAGATGGAGCAGCAGGAACACAGACAGTGGCAGGCAATTTGCTTTTTTATTTTTTTGTCGTTCAGCTGTGTGTGTGTGTGTGTGTGTGTGTGTGTGTGTGTGTGTGTGTAACATGGCCTCAAGAAGCCTTTACTGACCACTTCTGACGGTAGTGTTTTAAATCCATCAGCAAGATGTCAGTTTTTCATAGCTGTGTGTATTGTTTTTGTGGAAGGAAACAATTTGATGGAACGTGTTTTTGCAAGAGATGCAAAGTAACTTATCAAAGCAGTGACCTTCGTTCATTTCGTGCAGAGAATTTGGAGAAACTGACCCACAGTTTCTGAAAAGTTACATATTGTAGCCTTATTTTGAAAATGTTCAAACAATACAAGAACAAAGAGAAACAAAAAAAAAACATAATGATCATAATCATAATAAATAACATGTTCAAAAAGGAGCAGGAAGAAGCATTAGCTTATTTAATGCCCCTTTTCCACTATTTAGTAACTCATAATCATCACTTTCCCCCTTCTGTTTGCCCCCTATCCTGACATAAATCCTGCCTTACAATTTTTTACATGTATATGCAACGAGATATGGATATTTACAGATAGGTGTGACCAACAGGGGGCGCAGGTTGACGACATATAACAATCGGAAAGGCGTATATTGATTTTGTTTAGCATTTGGGGGATTTTGATACACAAAGTAACCGACAAACATTGTTCAGGTGTTACTATTACAGTGTTATTACATATTATGATACGCAAATATGTCATTCACAACAGCGTTACTATGGCGAGCCACATAGGTGTTGACAAATGTACGCAGATACCGCATAACCTTTATTTATAGTATACCTATTTACACAAAATAAAACGCATTTAAAGAAATATTACTGTGGCGTGCTTACGCTGCTCACGCGTGCATTTCCCTCCGAGAAAAAAACAGAGTCACCGTGATTTGATCGCTGTGAATAAAGTGTCCGCCACATAAATACGCACAGAATTAGAGAAATGAGCCTGCGATCGAAGCACTCGTAAAAGTTTGACATAGTAAACTTGCCTCCGGTGGGTTACTCGAAACTCTTCTCGTCACCCTCCCCGCTGACGTTTACGTACGCAGCCGTGGCGTGCCTGCAAGCCAAATAACATGGAGTCCTCTGCCTGGCATCTCCAAGGGATCCCTGCAAAACACCCGAGCGCCGATTAAAAAGAGCAAGTTCCTCCATGGGAGCAGTCAAAGCTTCTTGCCAGCATCGTCGCGGTGCGTAAAGCTTCAGCTCCGTCCTCAAAGTATGACGAACGGTGCTTAAAGAGGCAGCCTTTCCCTGCGATCCGCAAACCAGGCCGATTTCAGTGAGTATTTGCACTAAAAAAAACCTAAAAAAACCCCTGCAGTTTATGGGCGTCTGGGTTTCAAAGGCAACGTGCACGGATGCGTTGCTGTTCCAAATCACCTGACAGCGACCGGATCGATAAGAGCCACGTCCTCTGAAGCGACAGAGGCCAACCCGTGGGACACCTTGATGTGCCCGGGCATTTTCCTGTCTTTTTTTTTCTAGAGGGGCAGCAGTGAGGACAAGGGCCTGAATATAAAGGCCACTTATTTATGTAACCATTCGAGCGCTCCGTTTCATTCTTTAAAACCAGACATATTGTGAAAATAGGTCAGACAGTCCGAAAGCTGCAGCTGCCAAATTTTTTTTAAAGAGAAAATACACAAGACAGCTAAACCACGACAGATTCTCCAGATTAAGCCATTAAATGAGGCTGATACATGGTGTGTTTTATGCTGGTTTAAAAATCATTCTCCGTGCAATTAGCTCCAGGAAAGTTTTCCATCACGGAAAAACTTCAGTGCGAGTTCATGTGTGAATGTTTTCCAGAAGGAGAGGAGGCTGCACGATGTAGGCAGGCTGTTTACTAGTGGGACTCCATACTGTTCTCTGGGGGGTGGGGGGGACCATGGAGCCAGAAGGGGAACCCCTAACCCCAGGGACCAGCTATGGGCCCGCACCCATCGACTCAGCACAAAACCCGGTCACCCCAACTTTCCTCAACAGCACCTTAGAGGTAAGGCATCAATATATATATATATATATATATATATTGAAAAATATATATTTTTATATATATATAAAAATTTATATATTTATGTGGTCATAAGTGCTGCCATTTTCACCCCCATCAACAATAAATTCTTTGTTTATTGTTACTACTTTCTAGTCTTCATGTTCTCCAAATCTGAGAGATGGCCTGATATCTGCCAAATGCTTGTGGGGCCTCACTGGGGAGGAGCGCTCCAAGCAGAGTGAGGGCCCCCAGTCCAGTGCAAACCAAGGGAGGAGCGCACAGAGGAGATTCAAATCCTCAGCCTTTCCTTCCTCCTTAAGCTGGGACTCTGACTCTGAGAAGGAAACACTAGATGGTAACACACCTGTTGCACGCATGTAAAGACAACGGTAGCAATGCATTCTGCTGGAAAGCTAAACTAGTACTGAGCCTATGTGCCTATCATTGTTGTCCCCTTATTGTTTTAAATGTTTTTCCAGTGTGCTGTAGTCAGAAGTCTTTCAGTTTGCTCTCTCTGTAATCTGCCCAGCAACTGTGGATTTTACCTGTGAAGCTGTGAAGTGATGTTTCTGTGGTTGTTTGTTTTGTGCGCTGTCGTGCGTCAGAGGAGGAGCTACAGAACTTTTCTAACCCTCACGGTCTGGCTGCTCACAGTCCAGGATCTCCTTCTTCTGGACTAAGGTGAGGAGGAGGTGGTGTAGGACGAAGGGTGATGAAATTTGACTTTAATGAATACCCACGTAGAAAAGAAATATAATATTCTAAAAAGTCCCATTAATTTCAAGAGATATATATTTAGTCATGAAAGGTGCTCCTTTAACATTTTTTATTTACAGCACAATGTTTACATGAGTCATATTTAGCTTTTAATAAATATCTTAAGAATTTACAGAGAAAAGGGGCAACTTTCATGAATAAGTAGTTATCCTTTAAAGAACTATAATATATCACTCATGATTTTTTCTTTTCTATAAGGGTATGCAGCAAAGACTTTAGCAATACTGAGGTCATAAGGCAAAGTGGGCCTGGATACCAGTTACTTACATTAACTCATTGCTTACTGAGTAGGAACATTTGAAAGAAACACTGGTTCAACATTAGCAACACTCTTTAGCTGAGAGGTGGCTCAAAGTTATCAAGAGCAGCTGTTAGCTTAGCATAAAAGCACAAACGTTTAAAAGCCAAGCTCAGTTTATGGCTAACTTTAGTCTGTATAAAGATAAAGGTGCTTTTGTGTTTTATTGCATTATTTGTGGGAACGTACTGAGTGCAATATGAGTTATTCAGATGGCTGCACCTCCCTGAGCCTCTGCAGGACATTTCTTCCGGTTAAAAGGGAGTTTTTCCTTCCAAAGTTTGTGCTTCACAAGTGTTTGCTCAATGGCGGTTATCTGTTTGTCGGTGTTTTCTTTATTATTATAGGGTTTTAACTTTACAATAATAAGTGCCTTGAAGTAACTGTTGTTGCGATTTGGAGCTATATAAATAAAACTGAACTGAATTTATTTGAATTTGAACAGATGCTATAAGCTAACTACCAGTGTTGCCAACTTAGCAACTTTGTCGCTATATTTAGCGAGTTTTCAGACCCACTTAGCGACTTTTTTTCTAAAAAGTGACTAGCGACAAATCTGGCAACTCTTTCTGGAGTCTTATTTATGACGACTTTTTGACGTGAAAACGCGTATCGCTCTTACTCTCAACAAGCAGCAGGTGCTGCCGTGGCCACCTTGCCCGTGCCAAAGCGCTCACAGGCGGAGGATAGTCCTCCCCGAGCTGCTATCAGGGCAGAAGATGTTCACACCTATGCGTCCAAACTGCAAATGAATCGCGCATGAGCGAAGCCGCTGCTCCCACACTGACTGTAACGCAGTCGGTTCTTATTTTACTGTTATGCTGTTTTGTGGATCATAAACTTTAAAACTACTTATAAACACACACACACACACACACAGAAAGTAACTCCACCAGAGTGCCAATTTCGGGTCACTTTTGCCAGTCCAAGCCCGGATAAAGGATCAGGATTGGAATTGTGACATTAAAAAAACAATAATTGCTAAAAGAAATTTAATTTGTAATTCCAAATAAATTCTAAATGCATTTAGGGCGTTTTTTACTCACTTTATGTCTCTTCCACGATGTTATTTCTCTCTCCAACAACATAGGTTACAATGACATAAGCATGACCAATTGTGCAAATTAGGCGATGAAGTCATTTAGCGACTTCTAGCGACTTCTAGGACAGCCAGTGGCGATTTTCCTTACTGAGGAGTTGACAACACTGCTAACTACAGCCCTGAGAGTCAGCTCGGATAATAAACAAGACGATGGTCTGCTTTTAATTTCACTGGAAGATTTATTTGCATGCTAGTTTGCAGCTTTTACATAGAGCAGTGTTCATATTTTGAAAACCCAGCTCATCCCTGAATTGTCAACAAATGCCTTTAGCTAGCTAAAAATAATAAATTTTAGCTCCCTGTATCTAGTTAGCTGTCAAAAGGCTTCTGTTACCTATTACCTAAGTGAGTTATTATTGCTGGGTAAAGCACTTACAGCTTTCCTAACAATCAACATTTCCTAATAAGACAAGTGCTCAAACTTGTCAACATTCTTAAATTACAGCAATATAGTTTAGAGTTTAGTACCGGTACTTGACGTAGCAAGAAAATATATACTGTAAAAGTTAGTATACCTTCTCAAACAGGCACCATAAAGCATTTGAAAAACATAGGTCTCGGTTTCCACCTTTGAGAAAAAAAGAAACAATGATGGAAACTGAAGGCCTACAACAGTCTTATGTTAAAATGGGCCTTTCCTTCTATGTACCCCTTATAAGACAAGTTAGTTACTTATATATAGTTGGGTCCATAATCTTTAAGTGCAGAGCTTTAATTCAAGTTGTTTAACAAACATTTTGAATGGACTTTCTAGGAATTACTGTTATTTTTTAAACATGTTTTTCCCCATTTTCAGAGCCACAGAAGCAGTTGGACATACTTACACTTAAATAAATATTAGACACGTTACCAATTTTCTAAGTAAAGATATTTCTAAATGTGCTGTTGACATGAATTTCTCATCAGATGTCAGTAACAACTCATTCAGTCCACACATGCAAAGAAATCAAACCATAGATGTCCATAAATTAAGTGATGTTTAATAATGAGAAATGACATAGGGAAAAATATTGAAGAGAGGGAGGTTCAAAAGGGCATGGGAAGTCATAGCAGCTGAAATCTATCAGTAATCAGAAAGCAATCCTGCCCCTTAGTGCAAATGAATATCAGCTGGTTCAGACTCAAATGATGGCCTATAAAAGATGTCTCATTATCAAGGTGTCACATTAGAAACATATTATGATGAGTAAAACCACTGAGCTCTCTCAAGACCTTTGCAACCTTATTGTTGCAAAACATATTGATGGCATTGGTTACAGAAGAATTTCTAAACTAGTGAAGGTTCCAGTGAAAATGAAAAGTCATGCACGCCATATGCAAGACTCCATTGCTGAAGAAAACTCATAATGAAGCGGGTCTAAAGTTTGCTGAACTTTAGACCCGCTTTAGACAAGCCTGTGAAAAACTGGGAGAATGTAGACTGGTTAGATGAGCTCAAAGTTGAGCTGTTTGGAGGCCAAAAGGCACTGCATACCAAGAGTAAAGCTTGGAGGTGGGAACATCAGTGTGGGGCTGTTTTTTAGCATACAGCACTGGCATGCTTCATATAATTGAAGGAAAGATGAATGGAAACATGTCCAGGGACATTCTTGATAAAAAAAAATCTGCTGCCACCTACCAGGATGATGATGATGATGAAATGAGGGTGGATGTTTCAACAGGGCAATGATGCAAAACACACAGCATAGGATACTCCGAGTTGCTTTCAGAGAAAGAAAATAAAGCTGCTAGAATCACCCAGCCAATCGTATGACCTGAATCCAATTAAAGATGTGTGGAAAGAACTAAAGCTCAGGGTTCAAAGAATGGACCTACAGAAGTTTCAGGATGTGAACACTGTGTGGAAGAATGGGCCAAAATCACACCTGAGCATAGTTTCTCCACACAGGAGGAGTTTTCACGCTGTCATCACCAACAAAGGCTTTTGTATCACATCGTTTCTAGACATCTATAGTCTGATTTCTTTGCATGTGTGGAAAATTTCATGTCAATAGCACCTTTAGAAATATATTTACTTAAAAAATTGGTGACGTGTTCAATACTTATTTTACTCGCTGCAAATATAAAAGCTTAAGAGTCTTTATATTTGCAGATTCTCTAGATTCTCAACGAATACTAGATGAGATCCTTTGCAGTAGGTGACTGGACCACATAGACATATCAACATGTGTTTCCTTGAAATGCTTGCTAGGCCTTTACTGCAGGCTCCTTTAGGTAATACTTGTTTGTGGGTGTCTGCATTCAGCTTTGTATTAAATAACTGAAAACTGTTCTCCTGCATTGAGATTAGGTAACTGGACATTTAAGAATATCCTTATTCCTTTGTCTTGAGAAACTCTGAGTTTCAATTACTCTGAGTAATTATCCATTAACACAGTAAAGTGCAGTTCCATTAGTTTTGCAGGATTTATTTGAATCTGAGTATAGGCCTGTACACTAAACATATTTATTTTTTCTAATCTATATTTCTAATCTTTTTTATTTTTCATTTTAACCTTGTTGTAAACCCTCTGTGTTTCCGTTCATGAAGGCGTCTCTTGATTGTAGACTTTGACAATGATACGTCTATCTCTTTGAGTGTTCTTAACTTGGAAAGGAATTCTGCAATCATCCAATTTAGCTTTCTTCTGTGGCCTTTCAAGCCTTTTGGAGATGTGAAGTTGGCCAGTGCAATCATTCATTTTAAGCAAACTGTTTACTTGCCCACTCCTTTCTTCTAACTTTCTAATATGTTTATTTTGATCTTTCAGCCAAACGATGGCCCGCCTCACTTGCAACATCTCTTTGGGCTTCATTTTCAGAGTTCTAGTGAACGGATACTAAATGCAAGTTGAATACTTGGAATTGGCTCTAGATAGATCTACTTATTTTGTCAAGGAATAACAAAGGAACAGGCCTCACCTGGCCATGTATGGTCCAATTACTTTTGCACCTGACTGTAAATCCTAAACAGTCAATGCAATTTTTTTAAACCTCTCAAGTTAAAGTTGGAAGTTTGCACTTTAGTAACTTTTTGATTGTTTGATTTAAAATCTACTGTGGTGATGTAAAGAGGCAAAATTAAACCTAATTAGACCTAACTGTATGTTATGAACTTGCATGTTCAACTTTTACATTTAGCTCACAGGAATCTATCAAAGAATCATCTTACCTGATTCTTTGAAAGATAGCATATTAGTATATTTCCTAAAGTGCTGAACACACTACTGTCTTTACTAAAACGTATTCCAGTTATAGTTATATAATGGACATAATGTGTTGACTCTCAGCTTTCATTTGTGTGTCAAATTCAATGAAGAGTTTCAGCTCCTTAATGCAGGTCACCCTCTTTTTAAAGGGGACCAAAAGTAATGGGACGATTGACTCAAAGGTTATTTCACGGACAGATGTGGGCAATTCTTTCTTTATGTCATTATAAATTAAGCCGATAAAAGGCCTGGAGTTCATTTGAGGTGTGTTGGTTGCATTTTGGAAGATATTTCCATGAACAGACAACATTTGGTCAAAGGAGTTGCCCATGTAGGTGAAACACGCCATCGTTAAGCTGGGAAAACAGAAAAAAACCCATCCAAGAAATTGCTATAACATTAGGAGTGGCAAAATCTACAGTTTGGTACATCCTGAGAAAGAAAGAAAGCACTGGTGAACTCAGCAATGCAAAACGACCTGGACATCCATGGACGATAACAGTGGTGGATGATCGCAGAAGCATTTCCATGGTGATGAGAAACCCCTTCACAACAGCCAACCGAGTGAACAACACTCTCCAGGAGTTAGGCGTATCGATATCCAAGTCTAAAGATAAGACTGCATGAAAGTAAATACAGAGGGTTTACTGCAAGGTGCAAGACCTCAAGAACAGAAAGGCTAGATTGGACTTTGCTAAAAAAAAAACAAAAAAAAAACATCTAAAAAAAAAAAGCCAGCACAGTTCTGGAAAAACATTCTTTGGCAGATGAAACCAAGACCAACCTCTACAAGAATGATGTCAAGAAAAGGCGTGGAACAGCTCATGAACCAAAGGACAACGCATCATCTGTAAAGCACGGGGGAGGCAGTGTGATGGTTTGGGCGTGCATGGCTGCCAGTGGCACTGAGACACTAGTGTTTATCGATAATGTGACACAGGGCAGAAGCAGCTGAATGAACTCTGAAGTGTTCAGAGACGTACGGTCTGCTCAAATCTAGCTAAATACAGTTGCGCTGGCTTTCGTAATAGAGACGGACAATGACCCAAAACATACAGCCAAAGCACCCCAGGAGTTTACTAAACCAAAGAAGTGGATTATTCTTGAATGGCCAAGCAAGTCACCTGATCTTAACCCAATTGAGCATGCATTTCACTTGTTGAAGACTTTGCAGAGAAAGGCCCTCAAACAAACAAACAAACAAACAAACAAACAAACAAACAAACAAACAAACAAACAAACAAACAAACAAACAAACAAACAGCAACTGAAAGTAAAGGCCTGGCAAAAAAAAGGGTTCCCTCATTAAAAGGAAGAAACCCAGCATCTGGTGATGTCCAAGAGTTTAAGACTTCAGACTGTTATTGCCAGCAAAGGGTTTTCAACCAGGTATTAGAAATGAACATTTTATTTTCAGTTATTTAATTATAATGAAATAACTATGATAATAATAATAATGTTTGGGGGCGGGGCGACCGTGGCTCAGGGGGGTTGGGAAGCGTATCTGTAACCGGAAGGTCGCCGGTTTGATCCCCGGGCTCTCTGTCCTGGTCGTTGTGTCCTTGGGCAAGACACTTTACCCTATCGCCTACTGGTGTTGGCCAGAGGGGCCAATGGCACAATATGGCAGCCTAGCTTCTGTCAACCTGCCCCAGGGCAGCTGTGGCTACAACTGTAGCTTGCCTCCACCAGTGTGTGAATGTGAGAGTGAATGAATAATGGCATTGTAAAGCGCTTTGGGTGCCTTGAAAAGCGCTATATAAATCCAATCCATTATTATTATTATTTATTTTTGTCCAATTACTGTCGATCCCCTGAAATGAAGGGGTTGTGTTAAAAATGCTTGTAGTTCCTCACATTTTTATGCAGTCTTTTCTTTTAACCCACTAAATTAAAGCTGAAAGTCTGTACTTCAGCTGCATCTGAGTTATTTCATTTAAAATCATTGTGGTAATGTGCAGAACCAAAATTAGAAAAAACTTGTCTCTTACCAAATTTTTATGGGCCTAACTGTAGTTTAAAACATTCCCAGCATTTCCATGTTTATAATTACACATGCCTTAGTTAGCTAAAACCCACGAAATTCCCTGAAAAGATGGGGGACTCGACCTCAGTGGTGGCAATGGGCCTGAGAATAAGAAATATGAGGCCATACATGATTTCTGATTTTTTCCTGAATACAGGCAGATTTTTAAAATTTATTACGAATATAATGTAATAAATTCTTTTTCTGATGGCATCCAGACTTGATAGAGAAGATGACCAAGTACCTGATAAAATGCAGCACTTCCATAGTAAGACTGGCATGTCTACACCCGCTGAGGGGCACAGTGATAACAATGAGAGCACAAAGACAGAGGAGCCAAATACATCCCAGCCTGGCCAAACAGAATGTAAGTACCATACTGAATAAACTTAGTCTGCCTGCACACTCGATAGCTTTGTTTTTAAAATCTTTTCTTTCACTGAGAATTCTCCTGCTTTCTTTGCAGTAGCAGACAGCAAATTCTGGAATGTATCTGAGGGAGCTGAGCCATTCCTGTCTAAAGTAAAACCAAAGGAAGGTTGCCAAATGGAGGAGGAGGAGGTGGTGCTGGACAACGGGGAGGGAGAAAAAAAGCCCAAGGGAAAGGAAACCAAGGAGCCTGAGAGAGATGTGTACACCTTCCCCGGAGACTCAGACCAAGAGAGTCCCCCTCCTGCCCCCTGGGCTCATTGCACATTCATTCAGCGGTGCAGAAAAAAGAGGGTCTTGCTCAGGCCCTTCTCAGGACTTGGCACCTTAAAGCGTACGTTGCCTGAGACTGCCAAATTGGCAAGACCTAGTCCTCAAAAATCTGAAACAGTACAGCTAAATCGAGGTGGAGGGGTTTATGACTTTGAGGAGGTCAGCTTTGGAGAGGGAGGGGTGGAACCCATAAAGTTCAGAGACAGAGGTGGGAGAAGAGACAAAGAAGGAGAAGAAAGTGGAGCGGAGACAGATAAAGAGATTTTCACGTGTGTCGAGTGTAGCATTTATTTTAAAAAGCAGGTCCACCTGCAAGAACACATGATTGAGCACAATCAGAGTGGCGCAGGGGGTGTCAGGCGGTTAGGAAAGGGCAGCCGCTTTCGGTGCACTGAGTGTGGATGGAACCTGCCAAATCGACTTGCACTTGCTGACCACCATAGAAGGCACGAAGAGTCACGACTGAAGATCCTGGAAGAAATTGAGAAACTGAATGAAAATGGGAAAGCAAAAGAGTTTCAGACACTGGACAGCAAGGTGTTGAAAAATAGAAGCATAGACCCGACAGTTATAGAAAATACTGGCCCAGGCTCAATACTAAGCAAGGTGGTAGACCCAGACACGGTCAAATCTCCACCTCTATCGCCAGTGTCAACACTGGATATAGACCCAGGAGTCCTTGACCTAAATACACCCCTGCCAAATTCAGTTCGAACTCCAACTCAGACCCGAGCTCTCTCTGCCTACCGTCGCCGCTTTATCTGTACTAAGTGTAACTTCAGCACAAGAACATCCCAAGCACTAGCTAATCACTCCAAGACCCACACCAGGAAAAAGCCCACTCTCCAGTCAGATTCTTCTTCCTCTGGCTCACCACTGAGTTTGGCATCTACTTCCCTGACCTGTGGTCACTGTGGCTTCCTGACCTCAAGTGAATCCATACTGAGGGAACACCAGGCACTCGTTCATCCAGGAGAGATCGACGAGTCTGGACAGCGTTTAAAGGCTAGTATGGGAGCAAGAGTTTTTAAACCCAACCTAGACCCTGAGTTCGTCTCTGAATCCGGATCTCAGCATGACGCAACTCAAGGCAAAAGCCAGCGAGCAGTTACTGCTTCTGATGACAGCAGAACACCAGACGGCACTACAGCTCGGCCTGTGAGACAGGTGGTCTGTAACAGGAGATTCAGCACAAGAGGCAAACCTTGGACTGATCTGGCCAAGCTTGACACCACTGGGGATGGTGAAAAGCTGCCTGAGAGTGAAGAGGAAGAGCAGGACCAAGATCAGAAGTCAGAGTTTAAGACAGAGCTGTGTCGGGAAGAGGAAAGCTCATCAGTGGCAGTCAGGCCTCAGACTAGAGCACAATCCATCATGGGTGAGACTAAATAAGAACTCAATTGTTAATTTCAGAGTAATAGTTTACCCTTGATTGATAGAAATGACAAAAAATTAGCTAATTAATATTATTATTATTTTTTTATTCAGATTTCTGGATGCGCATGCACTGCCTGCTGTTTGAGTTAGATTTCGTGATAATTTTAATCAAAAGTTCATTTTCTTTCCTTGATAGATGATGGCTCATTGCTGCAGAGTGCTCCATTACCGCTCCCCACCAAGAAGAGCGAAAAGGACGATGACAAGAAGGAAGCGGAAAAAGACGGGAAGGTTTTCTTTCTGAGGAGGAGCACCAGGGTCGCTGCCGCTCCTGTAGAAATTGACAGCGACGACGACGAAGACATTGACGAGGAACGCGTGCGACGTTTCCTGTCAGAGGGCGTCCTGGATGAAGACAAAGACGAGATTGATGAGGACACAGAGGCGCTGAAGAGCGTGGAGAGGAAATGCCCCTACTGCCCCGATCGATTTCATAATGGAATTGGGCTTGCCAATCACGTGAGAGGCCACCTGAACCGTGTGGGCGTCAGCTACAACGTGCGTCACTTCATATCCCCGGAGGAAGTCAACGCGATTGAGAAGAAGTTTTCTTATCAGAAGAAGAAAAAAAAAGGTCAGCACCCTGTCGCATGTGTTTCTTAGACTATGTAGATGTCTTTGCAGATTTGGAACCCTGTCTTTTTTATTGTGTTTGGAGTAAAACATCTTTACAATGAAGACTCTGATGTAGGCTATCATATCTCACTTTAATACCCTTTTTTTACATTATACAAGGTTTTACATTTTTTTCATATTTTTCTCCGTGTTTAATTTTTTGTTGATGTGATGAACACTTTGAGAGATGTATATTGAATTTCTATAATATAACTGGTAAGTGGTTTATAACCTACCGGCTAGTTCTCTGGCTTAAACCATGTCCACATATTTATGGCTATTTTTGTAGCTGATGTTCGCAGATGTTCATGTAGCTAATCTGATAAATTTACATGTCAGCCACTCGTAACCTTGCTTCAACTGTTCACCTCAAAACTGAGAGAAGTTAAAACTTAGAGGCCCAAGTTTTCATAACCCTAACCCAACTCTAACCCTGTATGAACATTTTTTGTGTGTTAGTTTTCTTTGTTCTGGGATTGCCAAGACTCGGAAGAACAATTCAATAATTGGCTAGTGTTAGGGTCATCATCACCAATGATGACTTAAACCTCCTGTTTTCTTTGTTTACGGTTTTTGGATTAGTTCAAGTTCAAATTCAAGTTTATTTATAAAGCACTTTTAAAACAACATCTGTTGACCAAAGTACTGTACAATAAAAATAGTCAAGGCAAAAGACATAAAATAGGCTAAAGGTAGAAGGGAATAGAATTATAGAATGATGATAAATAAAAACAATAGTAACAGGCTCATACTGATTTAAAAATGAGTCTTTAGATGGGTTTTAAAAGTATCCAGTGTTGTGGAGGTCCTGATATGCAGAGGCAAAGTGTTCCACAATTTAGGCACAGTCACCACAAATGCCTGGTCTCCTCTGTGTTTTAATCTGGACCTCGGGACGACTAGGAACATTTGGTCCGCAGACTTCAAAGATCTTGCAGGTGTATACCAGGTTAGTAGATCAGAATTACATTTTAATAAATGCAATCCGACTTTCACTTTTTATAGAGACTCTTTACCTTCATATTCTGCTTATTAACAAGCAGAAAGCAGACGCCAGAAAGTTTAATCTTTGATCTGCATATTCATATCCAGATATCTGTTCCTACAGATAAGTCCAACAATAACCCAACAGTTGGTGGAGGCATGAGAGATTTCACTTGAGACCACCCAGATAGGGGTGATAAAGGAAAGTTCAGTACACTAATGAATAGAATTCATCTCTTGAGAGCCATGATTATTCAAAGTTTCATGGCAGTTATTTTTGTGGTTGGCTTGACCAAAGTGGTAACTCATCAAATGACCAACAGACCCACACACCAGCATTGTGGTGTGTGGGTTTTTAAAAGGAAAAGTTGTTCCATCGATTTGTGGGGGTCACAATAAAACAAACAAACAAAAGGTCGGGAACCATTGGCATGACATGCCTTACTTTACATTCAATCATTTGCATTGCTTCTTTCCCCTGTAGTTGCCAACTTTGACCCGGACACTTTCAGCGTGATGCACTGCGAGTTCTGTAGTGCTGGCTTCGATACCCGGGCTGGCCTGTCGAGCCACGCTCGGGCCCACCTCCGTGACTTCGGCATCACTAACTGGGATGTTACCATCTCCCCGATCCACATCTTGAGGGAGCTGTTCTCCAGCAGGCCTGACCTTGTAATCCCCACGGCTCCCCCTCGGAGTTCTGGCTCTCCAGTGGAGGAAGACGAGGACGATGATGAAGACGAGAGAGACCTAGAGGATGAAGGGGAGGGAATTGTTAAAGTAAAGCTGGAGGAGGAGACAAGCGAAAGGACCCTGAGTGCTGCTGTTTCTGATGTGCTGCCTTCAGCATCTCCCCAATCCTGGAAGAAGCGGGACGGAGCAGAAGAGTGTAAAGGTGAGTTTCTATTATTGGTCCATCTTTAAAAATGGCAATGTGATAAACAGACCTTACTTATTGGTTGTGTGATTAATCTGCTGGCTGCTGATGGCTCTGATGGGTCACTACCTTGTCCACGTTTGAAGTTTGAGCTTGGCTCTCTGTTGCCTCATAAAACCAAGATAGAAGGAGATAATGATAAAGCAGTTAGAAATGTGTTTTGAAGTTACTGCCTGTCCTCGGTGGAAAGTACTGGAGTCAGGTGGCTGCTGAGAAAAATCAGTCTTTGCGCGAGTGTGTGTGTGTGTGTGTGTGTGTGAGGGAGAGAGCTGGAAAGAGTGAGAGAATCCCTGATGCCCATGGTTGATGTGGCACTCGGTGCATTTATCCCAACCTCCGCCTCCACTCGATTGGTCACGCCTTAGCTTAGCGGTGCATATGGGGGCAAAATGGCTGCTTCCACCTCCCCGCAGACCCAAACAATAGCGGAAAAACTGTCTGGCTTCAGCTGCCGGGAGTCCGATGCACTGCGGTTGCGGACCGGTGAGTACCGCGCGCCGTAATTCCCGTGCACCGCGTGCCCTCGGATCGCGCGGCGGCTTCTTCGCACTGCACGTCTGGCGCCGCATCTTCTGTCACAATGTAGCCAGATAACAGCCATTAAAAAGAAAGAAAGAGAGAAAGAAAGAGAAACTCTTTATCACGTTGGAGACCGCGTAAAAAAATGAGTGTCGCGTGCAGGTAGCCTGTGACACGCATGTCAGAAGCTCATAAAGCGGGTCATTGTTATTGTTTCGGGTTTCCTGATTTTGCACGCGGGGATAGATTGTGTGCATTTTGGCTGTTGTGATACTATTGTTGCAGTTTGTTTTTTCTTTTCAATACATATTTATGTGAGTGTGTATGTCTGTGTGCTTTCCCCCCTCTATTATACACGTATCGAATGACGTCCAGTATTTCCAATGCTGCAGGATCTCTAAAATTACCTACAGTTGCCCAATCCTCGCCATTTTACTTTGCTTTGATTTTTGATAGAGGACACGCTGTGCCTTCAAGTGCATGCTTTTGTGCATGTCTCTTTTTTTCTCCCCCTACAATAAACTGACCGCGAGAATAGTCGGGAAACGTGGTAACTTTGTTGACCCAAAGTAGCAGCAGTTAGTAACTGGTAATCTTATTGCAACTTATCCGGATCAACCAAGTATAATGGAAGTATCACTTTTACTTGGAAGTGTCGGGTTGCTCACTCTCTCTCCGCCCGAACGGGCACAAAGTTAGCGTTTGCCACTTTGCCTCCGATCTTAGAAATTAGCCCTGTGATTATTTGGCGTTGTCTTTAGCATAATAAACGGTGTTATAACGCTGCGTTCCGGGGTGTCACATCGCTGCTCTTTTACAGTCAAGAGATGAACTGACAAGCGCAGAGCCGCCCACCAGACAAAAAGCATTGTCTGTCTCCACGTCTCTTTTGATTTACCGATTTGTCGCAGAAAATGGCACTTTTGTCCCAGGAATGTCTGACTGCGGGGAACCAAGACTGCCGCGTTTGTTTCATACTGTAGTGCAGTTATTACTTTTTTTGTTTTGTTCTTTGGCTTTTTTTTTTTTGACAGGGATTCATTACTTGAATTGTTTTTATGCATATTTCCCCCACAGAATGCATTACAACGCGCTGCTGTAACAAGGAGGGAGAAAATAACAGGGCATTGAGCTCACAGGACTGAGCTGATTTTTCAGCTCACAGCCTGATTCTTTTCTTCTTTTATCCACATATACATGCATTTAATGCGTGCATATGCGTTTGATGCAGTTTATTTATTTATTTCCCCCAATGTATAATTAGCTTTGAGATGCATCCCTCAGACTGCTATTTAATGTGATTTGTCATGACATTCATCACTTAGCCTAATTACTGTGGATTTTCTGCACTTAACACGGATACGGTTGTGTTTTTAGGCGATGACGAGGAGGGAGCAGAGGAAGAAGATGAGGAGGAGCTGCAGCAGCTTTCAGCCCTGGACGGTTTGAGCTCAAGCCCCGGGAAAACGGGTCCGCGCGGCGTGAACACGGACAGCCTCTCTCCTGGGGAGGATGCAGACACCGCGGGTGAGGCAGGAATGTGGGAATGCTGACCTCAGAGTGTTTACAGGGGATTGGATTTGCTACAGCCAAGCCTCATCATAGCTGTCAGTGGGAAAACTGTAGTGGTAACAGAGATGCTACAAGAGAGGGGGTTATCACAAGGGAAATCCTGAGAGGAAGACAAATCTTTTAGGGGGTAATTAGAGCACCCCTAGTACTGTGTAAGTGTATTCTGGGATATCTGTGGTCTCTAGAATAACCCGAGCCACCTGCTGCTGGTTTTAAAACTGGGGTGGCTGTCGCTCAGGAAGTAGAGCAGGCTGTCTGCTAATCTGAAGGTTGGTGGTTCAATCCTTGACTGCTCCAGTCTGCATGCCAAAGTATCCTTGGGGAAGATACTGAACCCTAGGACCTGGTTCATCAGAGTGTGAATGTTAGATTATGATGAATGTGTGTGTGAATAAGGCTCGTAGCATAGATGCTTTGTATGCAGAGTAGAAAAACACCATGTAAGTGCTCAAGCTGCCTAAAAACAGATGTCATCTGTAGCGGTTTGAAACATTTATAACATTTGTAAGACACAGCTTATTACCCAGTCTTATGCCGTCTTTCACACTTGTGCAGACAACAACTTGAAGTGTGAGGTGTGCGAAGCTCAGTTTGAGACCAAGCGCGGCCTCTCCATCCACGCCCGCTCTCACTTGCGCCAGCTGGGCATCACCGTTTCAGACGGCAGCGGGACCTCCATTGAGCTCCTCCGCCGGATTGCCAAGGAGCGCAAAATAAGCTCATCTCTTCAGGAGCCACTCGTAGCTGAGAGCCCCTCCCCGTCCGTTGCCCCAAAAGATGAGGACATGGACTTAGACGAGAAACCCATCCCTCTGTCCCTCTTGGCCAAAGCAGCGAAAGCAGTGCCGCTCTCGTCCTCCTCCACACCTTCTCCGGGCGCCTCTCCAGCTCCGGCTCACTCTGGCTCCCCTTCCTCGGTAGTGAAGAAAGCCCCCATTTCCTCTCTACTACCTGTGTCTTCCCCCTTGCGCTCTCCTGAGCACAAGGCAGGGGGCATGAAAAACTTGACCTCTAACCTCTCCGGCTCAACAACCATTGCAACAGCCAAACCCCTCTGGGCGCCAGAGGAGAATGATGCTCCTCTTAACCTCAGTAAGTGTCGCTGTCCTAGCTGATGACTGTTTTATCTTTTCATTGCTTCATGTTTAGTCATTTCTTTCTTCTGTTCATAGCACTGGAGGTTGACCCCAACAAAGACATTGTTTGTCAGCTGTGCGGCGCCTGGTTTGAAACCCGGAAAGGCTTATCCAGCCATGCTCGAGCTCACCTGCGGCACTTTGGGGTGGAGTACTCGGAATCCAAGGGGTCTCCCATCAGCCTCCTGAACCGGCTCATCGACACGGATGACTTTAAGCACAAAGCCAGTGCATTGCAGCTCGACAACCACACAGAGCCACGGAGCCTCGCCCCCACTACGCTCTCCTCCTCAAAGCCATCCTTGCTGACACTCTCCTCCTCTTCCTCTTCATCACTCCTGTACAAGGTGACCACGACCGGGAGTGGATCAACATCCAAAGCTACCTCTTCCTCTGCCTCATCTATACTTGGCCCACCTGCCAAGCGTCTCAAGTCCTCTTCCATGCAGGTCTTCCGCCTCAGTAGTGGGGAACTCATGGCCCTTCCACACAGTGAGTGTTGTAGTATCCATGAAATTAGACGATTTATAGAAGCATAATGCTTTCTCTGTTTAACGCAAGGTCAAACCTTCTCGTTCCTAAGGTGAACCTCCAAAGGAGATAGGCTGTGAATTCTGTGGGGAATATTTTGAGAATCGCAAAGGGCTGTCTAGCCACGCTCGCTCTCACCTGCGTCAGATGGGCATTACCGAGTGGTCCGTCAACGGCTCTCCGATCGACACCCTGAGGGAGATCATCACGAGACGGGGCCTGCCTTGCGCCCTCCCGCTAAAACCTCTCAAAACCCCACCGCCATCTTCTCCAGGACCGCCTCGTTCCCCCCTTTCGGTGTCCTCTTCTCCTTCAGCTACTCTCCTCAGTCGCCTGCCGTTCGCCTTCGCCCGCCCCTCCAGTCCTCAGCCCGCCGTGTCCAAGTCGAGCTCAGCTCCACCAACGCCTTCTAGCGGGCTGATTCTCAAGCTGAAGCCGGAGCCGGTGCAGGTAGAGGTCACCACGCCTGGAGCTGTGGGGAGATCTGGAGGGTTTTCAGCTGAGTCTCTCAACTCTAGCTGGAGGAGCTCTGACAGTGCGTTTCCTCTCAACTTAGGTATTTGAATCCTGTTTTGTCTTCAGTGCTTATTTAACAATTGTTAAGGAATCATTTATAGATAAGGGAAATCACTTTCAAACGTACTGGCATGTCTAGTTTGTATTCATTAATCATTTATTATTGTTTGCTTCACCGACTGAATTAACCTCAGTTTAGTCAGGAGCATTTTTTAAGTCAAGCAACATCTCTGTAAATAACAGCATAAAACCACAAACTGTTTTTTCTGATTTTAGTTCTTTGATCAAATTATTTAAAAAAAAAAACATTTTAAAAGTAGGGAAATTATGATTAACTTTTGGACTAAGGCATGCAGGCTGTTGTGGTAAGTTTTACAAAGCATAGACTGTATATAAAAGATGGTCTTAGCTACTGTGCTACGACCCATTATTTGACAATGTCCTTTTTTGAAGCCTCAACTTCAGCATCTTTGTGTGATGGCAAATATGTGTGATGGCACTGGTTGCTCATGGGCTAACCACTTTTCAGTCAAATTTTATAAGCAAATCTTGATTTGCAGTGGTCCCTCGTTTATCGCTGGAGTTACGTTCTAAAAATAACCCGCGATAAGTGAAATCCGCGAAGTAGCCAACTTTATTTTTTACAATTATTATAGATGTTTTAAGGCTGTAAAACCCCTCACTACACACTTTAGACACTTTTCTCAGACAGGCATGAACATTTCCACACTTTTCTCTCTTGTTTAAACACTCGAAGTTCAAACCTTCATAAAAAAATATGTCCAGTATTATAGAATGAAACCAAAGATCAAACCCTGCTTTCAGGTCCAGAACATGGGAATAGAGCAGCTGCGAGAGAATTCAACATTAATGAATCAATGATACGGAAGTAGAGGAAATAAGAAGAATGAGTTGAGTAAAGTTTGACTTATCTGACTGTTTGGTTTCGCTTAATGCGCCTCATAATGCAATGTGCCTTATGGTCCAAAAAATACGGTAACTTCTACCTTCCTTTAGCATGTCCAGAAGTCCAACTTTTTGTGCGATGGTTAGCATCTTCCTCTGCCTTTTGGATGCTACCGCAGGTGCCTTTGACGGTGCAAAAAGTTTCGTCGACATTGTTGTGTTTGTTGGGGAGAAAACTTACAAACATACAGTACAGCACTTCAGAGTCACACTGCTAGCGATCGAAGATTTATGTAAATTTGACTGAACGCATTCGGTACTGTACAGGAGACACGGTATGGAGGAGATTGACTGACAGTGGTCTACAGCCAATCAGGACGCAGAACAAAATGCGCTGTAGAAAAAAAAAAGAAAAAGCATGCAAAATTGCACAAAGTAAATCCGCGAAACAGCGAGGCTGTTATAGTGAGGGACCACTGTATTGTCCTTTTAGGCGATGGTTTAAAAAATTAACATCATGTTTTAGTCACTAAAACTGCACTACTAGTCACTTTTGCCCATAAATGCATCAGGAAAGTGTTTACTGAGGTCATAGTTAAAGTGAGCCGTGGGTCATGCCCATAGGCTTCCATATAACCTGATGTCCCCCTACTGGTCATTAGAAAAATTACAAGTTTAAGACATCTGGCCGTTACTTCCACCTTTTACATACAGTCTGTATTACAGATTAGAGTAGGACAGGTCTTCTCGTGTATCTCATGTAATGCTAAACAAACAATGCATGTAAATGTAGTGTATTCCTGGTAAAAATAACTGTATTCGGTAGTCGTGTGTGATCCACTGTATGTGATAATCGAGCGCACATTTTCACCTGGTATCTCTTTAGCCATGGCCCATGAGGTGGAGCCTACGAGGGATATCCGTTGCGAGTTCTGCGGGGAATATTTTGAGAATCGCAAAGGCCTTTCTAGCCACGCCCGCTCCCACCTGCGACAGATGGGCATCACAGAGTGGTCCGTCAATGGTTCGCCCATCGACACCCTGAGGGAGGTTATGCACAAGAGAGGGGTGGGCGGCTCCTCGCAGTCAGACCAAGGAGTGAAGAAAGAGTCCAGCCAAGGAGCGAACAGTCCCTCCTGGGAGAGCACAGGGGGCGCCAGCGGCTCCGAGGGTTTGGGCGCTTCGGGTTACCAGTCCTCCAAATTCCGTAAATCTCCTCTCAGCTTGCTGCAGTCAGGGTCAAGGCTCCATAAGCAGGGTGTGGGGTCTGTGGGCCCATCTGCTACCCCATCTGCAGGGAAGTTTTTCAGGATGTCCCCACTGGGGAAAAGGCCTCTGTCTGAGGAGGCCCAGTCAGTGGAGGCTGCGCACTCATCTCCACATCAGCTTAAGACTTTCTCATCCCTTCCACATGATTTCTCCTTCAAAAGAAAACCTTCCCCAGACAAGCATGCACACCAGGGTAAGATGCAGTTTTTTCTCCACTTGCCCTGAACTTCATCTGATACCGATCATTATCCACTAAGAAAAGGTCTTCTCTTTACTCCTTCCCTGTATTTTTCAGATCCCAGTTGTGAGCTGTGCGGCTTCTTCTTTGAGAACCGTAAGGCTTTAGCCAGCCACGCGCGAGCCCACCTGAGGCAGTTTGGCGTGACTGAGTGGTGTGTAAATGGATCCCCTATCGAGACGCTTAGCGCTTGGATGCGTAGCAGGCCGCAAAAGGTGTTGGAGATGCACCGCAGCTACATGCAGGGTAACCGCACCACCCTAAAGAAGGTGAGGAGTGGCAGTCAGTCTTTGGTAACGCATTTCAGCCGAATAACTCAGATCAGTGCAGCAAGCTGAGCCGCTTGGTCTTATTTTAGGCCTGTGATACTTCAAAGCCCGTTGTGACTGCTGTGAACATTTGATTTTAAAACAAAAAAACTGGGAGTTGTAAGCGGAGGAGCCCGCGCCTCAGACAAAAGTGTCACAGCTATGCAGCGAGAGATCATAACCCACTGTGCTACTTTCCCGACACGCTCACTTTCCTCTCAGTGTCTTTGAATAGGCGTCATGCTCGGAGATCTAACGAGCCCCAGCTGGTGGCACGACAGACATTTTGTGTCACGGAAAGCCTCAGACGTGTAGTCTCGCAGCTTTGAGCCTTACTGTAGATCCTGTGTCTTTTACACCAAGCAAAAATCACTGTGGGGACAGATGCCAGAACAACTCAGCTATTGACTTGATAGTTGCCATAGTAACCAGGGTGCCTGGCAGCTTATGTTTCATCTTCAGATAAATTATGGCATGCTGTTGATAGAAGAAAATGTATGTTTTTTTCCCCTTTTTTTCCCTCCCCGCCTGAATTAGTTTCTGGTGCATTTGCGTCACTGTCACACCTTTTCCCTGAGTGGTGATGTGACACACATACAAAATGAATTACCTTTTAAATGTCCTTGTAATCATATTATTTTTTCATACAGACGTAGTCAAACCAACCTCGCTGTAGGATTTGATTGGCCTAAGTAATGACTGATGTCATGGTTAAAAAGGGTGTAATAATATAAATACCATTAATATTATTAGTGAGCTAATAAACCTGGGCAACTATTTGACCTTTTCAGTGGAAAGGACGTGTTGCTTTTATTTCCTATTGCTTAATATGTTTGACATAAAGAACAGTTTATTATACCGTGACATCTTTGAATTAGGGGGAGATTTTATCCACTTATAAAATTCCACAGGGAAAAACACCCCATTAATGTTAGCTTGAAGCTAATAGTGACTAGTAAAAACACGTCTTTATATACTACATTAAGTTTACAGTCATAAATGGGTTCAATGCTTTAACAACACAAAGAATACGAAAAATGAAAACGGAAAATAGATGCAGTGATGTATTGAAACATGCAAACATTCATGAGGCAAAATCAGAATTTGTACAATTCTAACAAGCATCAGTGTAAATATTTAAGTAATGTTTAGGCAGCTTTCTTGTTAAGTAGTCTTCAGGAATAATTCTCCAGGCTTCTTGAAGGACATTCAAAGCTCTTCTTTGGATGTTGCTGCCTTTCCTTCTGTTCTCTGTCAAAATGATCCCACACTCCTTCAGTAATGTTGAGGTCCGGGCTCTGGGGAGGCCAATCCATGACTGATGGTGTTCTGTTTTGGATTTTCCGGGTATACTTAGTATGACTGTGGCATAGCAAAATGAAGCCTCCACTACTTCATCCATATATATTAATGTTAATTTGAACAAAAAAAAGATTCATCAGTCTTATCAGACTGATTTTTGTTCAGATTCTTGTGTCATTTGGCATAACATCAGCTTTTTTCCATTTCCCTTCCTTAAGAATGGCTTCTTGACAGCCACCCTTCCACTGAGAGCATTTCTGATGAGCCGTCAGTGAACAGTAGATGGATCAATTAAAAGTCCAGATGCATCTTTCAAGTCGTGTGTCATCCCTTTGCTGGATTTTTCTGTTTCACACGACTTTGAGATACTCTTCATCTGCTCTACTTTTAAAAAAAATGCCTCATTGCACACCACGACAAGACCACTTTACAAAATTGCAAGAAGGTCTGGCTCCTTAAAAACAAAACATAAAGAAATGAGCGGTGGCTCAAGACACACATCACTGTAGGTAGACATTAAATGCATGAACCACAGCACTCAGACTTTCCTTAAAGTCTTAAAGTGGAGTAAATATGGCTATTTGTAAGCAGGTATAGACTTCATATTGGAAAGGTATGGCCTGTGTCTTATTTGTCTGTTTCATCTTTTGTTCCGTCTCTCTCTTTGTGATCATTGCCGCTGGCTGTAATGGGGGTCACCGCCCCTGATGCTTCTGTTAACACTGGCTCCAGAAATTCAGTGTTTGTCTGGTTCTACACTTTACTGGTATGATATGTTGGAATGATTCTAACCAATATCACAGGAAAAAACCGCAAAACAATATTGGTGTCATCAACCCAGTGAGCCTGGACTGCCTTGGATGAAGAAATACCGCATTAGCACACGTTTTGAACACCCACATTCGGACAACTTTTGTGATGATAGCTCTTTTTTATAGACATGTAGACCAACACATTCTGACCAGTCAGTAAGGCCAATATAACTTATATAAGTAAGTTTGCTGATCCAGGCACTATTTGGGATAATTGATCTAATTGGAGCTGTTTTGGCAAAACGTTTTGCCACTAGTCAGTTGGCAGTATTGCCCTTTGGGCGATAAAGAGGCCTTTCTAACACTTTCTGTAGCGAGCTAAACCTGTCTGTCCTTGATTGAGAGATCAGTCGCTCGTCCTTGGAGATCTTTTCGGCTTAGTTGCATACACAGCATGACAGGTTTCCAATGATTTAAGTCAGGGGACCATAAGAGCCCCATCAAAGCCTTTAGTGTTTCTTCAAGTACATCATCGTGGATTTTAAGGTCTGCTTGGGCCAACTGTGCTGTCGCAAAAGTCGCCTCTTTAGTTTCAGTGTCTCAGCTGTGTGACATTTAAAGCTGGAGATTTGTTGATATTTGGGGGAATGATTCTTAGATTTTCTTCATAGTATATGTGCTGTTTTCTTAGGTAAATGTTGGGTAGACTACTCTTCTAAAAGAGGAAGTTTGACATCATTAAAATGTATTTTCTGAGGTTGTATTTATTTACAAAAACTTTGTATCTGTACACTATAGCAAACAGTGTGTATTCTTTGAGACTAGATGACACAAGTGAAGAGTGGATGTGCACATATCCAGCTTTATTGTCTGTTTTACTGTAAATGGGAGCATACTTCCCAACAAGAACAGTGAGGTATATGAATCAGAACCTGAAACTAGCAATTTAGGCGGTAAACTCATTAGAAAAGCGTTTAATGAGCTTATAGATCAAGGGTCATTTTCTCAATAGACTTTTATACATTCTGACTTACAATCATTATGCAGCCGCACATTCCTTCAGTGCCTATTCAAAATGCAGGTTTAAGGTACTTTCTCATTTGCTTGACTTTTCAGACCCAGAGGCCGTGTCTCTTCAGTATATTTAGCTAAAAGCTAGTTAGCTTCACTGGGGTCATGCGCCAGAGCATATCTTGGCTAGTACCTGCCACACAAACACATAGACACAATTGCAGCACATACTTAGCACATTAAATGGAATCACATTATTATTTGTTTTAATTATATTTACCTATAAACATTTAAAGGTAAGTGCACTGGAATAAGTTTTTTTTAGCCAGGTTTTTACAGGAAACAAACAAATTAGTATACTCTAAGTAAATTTAAGTACTGCGGAAATAGTTTTAGGTAGTACATGAGTAATTTAAAGTATTGCATAACTTAAGGTATTTTACAGGAAAGAAGACAAATAATTCTGTAAGTAGTTTTAATAACTGCAGAATGTCTTGGTAGGTTTGCAGAAAAACATAATATTTCGCCATCTTGCATCGAATGCTGTGCTTTTCAACATCCGGGTGATATTATGGAGAGTCTTGGCATTGCCTAGCTTCCAGGTATTTTACAGGAAAAGAGACACTCCTTTTCTTTAAAAGCTATGTTTTAACAGTGGTTTAATTCACCCATAACATGACCCTCACCCCGAAATACACAGCTTATGTACGATGTAAGTTTGGGAAATATTCTCCAAAAGTTGATTCTGTTCATCTGGACGTAGCGTTTTGTGGGAGAAACGTTTCGTCACTCATCCAGGTGACTTCTTCAGTCTCAGCTGACTGCAGGTTTCCCCAATCTTATAAACAGTACATTTGCACAATGACTGAAACCAGCCAACCGAAGGAACAATGGGCTGGTAGGTCAGTTCCTTAATCAGAATTATGCAAATTCTCATGACCATTGATCAACAACCACTGATCAATGGCCATGAGTACCGTTCACAGAGAGTTGGGGAATGGCTGCAATCACAGCATTGTAAGATGGCAAAAGATGTATCCTTAGGCCCCCTCCTCAATTCAGAGATGGTCTTTCCCTTTTAACGTAAATGGCCTCCTTGACTCTGCGCTCAAACCAGCGTTCCTCCCTGTCCAAGATGTGAACATCCTCATCATTGAAAGAGTGTCCACTGGCCTGGAGGTGTAAATAGACTGCAGAGTCCTGGCCTGACGAGGTAGCTCTTCTGTGTTGTGCCATCTGCTTCGCCAAAGGTTGTTTGGTTTCCCCGATGTATAAATCCTGGCAATCCTCCTGGCACTTAACAGCGTACACTATGTTACTCTGTTTGTGTCGGGGGACCTGATCCTTGGGGTGGACCAATTTTTGGCGCAGCGTGTTTTGGGGTTTAAAAGCCACAGACACCCGGTGTTTAGAAAAAATGCGTCTCAACTGCTCCGATACTCCTGACACATATGGGATCACTACAGGTTTTCACTTGGGCAGCGGTTGTCCTTCTCTCCTGGATCGGCTGGAGCTTTCTTTTGGCGCCTTCCCAGCTTTGACAAAAGTCCAGCTGGGATAACCACATTTACTCAGGGCCTTCTTGATGTGCTGTTTTTCTGCCTCCCTGGCCGCTGTGTCTGTGGGGATGGTGTTCGCTCTGTGTTGTAGCGCCCTGATGACACCCAGTTTGTGCTCCAGTGGATGATGAGAGTCAAACCTTAAATACTGATCCGTATGTGTAGGTTTACGGTACACGTCAGCTTTGATCAGTGGGTTTTGGTCAGTGGTTGTTGCTCAATGGTCATGAGAATTTGCATAATTAAGATTAAGGAACTGACCTGCCAGCCCATTGTTCCTTCAGTGGTGCTGGTTTCAGTCATTATGCAAATGTACTGTTTATAAGATTGGGGAAACCTGCAGTCAGCTGAGACTGAAGAAGTCACTTGGATGAGTGATGAAATGTTTCTCCCTCAAAACGCTACGGCCAGATGAACAGAGTCAACTTTTGGAGATCTACTTACCTGGATGATTGAGCATGCATCAAGATGGGAAAGTATTGTTTCTCCAAAATTGCAATAAATTTGCACACCACTTTAAATTACTTATGCAGTACTTAAATGTAATTACATTACATTACAATTTCTTTTCTTTTCTGTAAAATACCTTAGGTTATGCTATGCTTAAAATTACTCATGTACTACCTATAATTGCATACGTAGTACTGAAATGTACTTACTGGTATGATTGTTTAATTTCTTCCTGTAAAAACCTGACTTGTTACCACCTTATTCTGCTGTTCCTGCCTTTAAGGAATTTGTTGGTAAATATTTTTATATTGTACTTTCAAATAAAATACACTGAAATAAAATTTTATTGCAGGGGAATTACACCCTTAGTCATGCGTTGTGTTATAAAGTGTTAACCTTTTTGCTGTTCTCCAAAACAACAATGGCTAGGGTTGTGGTTTTCACTGATGGTTGAAACTCCATCAGTGAGTTTTAAGTGTTGCCAATATCTGCAGTTATCCATGTTAATAGAACGAGTCTGATGCTCAGCTCAGCTATAGGTCCCCGTTATTTGATGCATTGGTGTCAGTAGAAGCCCAAATTAGGTCCCCATATGTCTGCAGATCTTTTGCCTTCCTTATTAATCACATTTTTTTCATCCATTTGTTTTGTAAAGCTCATTGGAGGGTCTGTTAATTTCTAAGTGCTTTTATTGTAATCAGACTTCTAATTAGTGCTTTATACATGACAGGTGTGAGAGAAAGGTCAGCTGGGACAGCTGGATATATAGTGTGTAATACGGTAATTTTAAAATAAGTAGAGAGAATCTTTTCTGTTACAGCTGCCTAATTCATTAACACAGCTAGATTGGTTGTAGTTAGATGCACTGTCCAGACTGTAATTATTGTAATTATGTGCATGATTACACATTTTTTGCATACGTGCTGAAAGAACTAGGTGGGAGATAAAACCCTTTTAACATGCAGTGCTCAGATTTTAAGGGCTTAAACATTCTGTACAAAAGTCTTGAGCCACCCCCTCATTTCTATATATCTTGCTTCCAAGGAGTCCAGTAGTTCTCCAGGCTTTCTGAAGGTCTTTGAACATTTCTTTGTTGTGTCTACAGATAACGGACAACTTAGCAAAGAGCCAACTAGCCTGTTGCAAAAAACAAAAATTTCCCCATTATTTAACTGAATCTATTAAAAATGTCAAAGATTACACAGTTTGAGAGACATAAAATAGTATTTTTGTACCAACAAGGTGAACCCCCCAAATAATTAGGCTAAAATGGTGTGTTCTTAAATTGATTAAACTGAACAACTGGAGGACAAATGTAGTGGGCCTTAAAAACAACCTATAGCTGAAGTCCTTAAGAAATCCAACAAAGACCTGACACTGAGAGGTGGATCAGGCAGTGGTTCTGGGAATCTTGTTAGAATTGATGTAATTATAAATGCAGAAAAGTACAAATAGAGTTTGAGCCACCCTACAATACTGTAAAGTGGAAAGTGTCAGAACTGGACAAAATCGAGCACAGGACTTGTCAGATTATGAAGAGACAAAGTCTTAATCTAAATGTCACCTCATACCTCTCAGACACAGGTGATCATCTTTTAACTAACTTTGTGCTGATTAACAGCTGCTGAGAACAATTTGTGTCCAGGTACTTATGAACCCCACTAATATGGGTGCTGTGTACTTGAAAGGGGCAAATTACAGCACAGTTCTCCTTATAGCAATATAAGCTTAATCTACTGAAAAAAGATAGACAGATGATGATGATATAAACCTACTTAAATTAAAGAAAGTGAAGATAAAACAACAAAAATTATAGTAGTTTAAATACTGTCTCTGCACTAAATAGGAGGCTAATGCTAGTTCCTGGCTAGCTTAAATTAGCATGTCAGTCCCAGCACCAGGCCAGGAAATTGTTGGCAGATATCCTCCCCAAAATGACTTCAAAAAAAGTCACATAACTTTTTAATTAGTAAGTAATGAGCTTTAGAGGAACTGGTGGTAGATTTTGTTACCTTTGGATAGAGCCAGCCTAGCTAACCGTCTACTTTTTTGCTTGAAACTAAGCTAACTCTTGCTTCCAAGTTACATATTTACTCTGTTCATATGCCTTATTGGTATATAGGAAGAAATTCAAAGTCTTATCTGGGTTCTTATTTACTTTTGTTAATGTGCCAGTGTTTCTGTTTACATGGTAACAAGTACACCAGGACTCGCCAGAGTTTTTGTAATTTACTGCTGATAGGATCACTCATTTTTTCCATGTTCCAGAAGAGCAGCTCACCGCTCACTGCGGATTCTGATCATATCCTCCCCATCTCATCGCAGAAGGCTTCCTCTTCCTCCTCCTCCTCTCAGTGGTCTTCTTCTTTGGCTGTCAGCCTGGTGCGTCCACTGAGCCACGAGGTCAGCCAGGGCTCTTCCAAGACTGCAGAGGAAGAAACTGGTACCAACTTCCAGGGTGCTCCCATCAGGGCTGGTCGCAGCAGTCCCAGTCTCTCGCGGCTCGGCAGCGGCCACACGCTTCAAGCACAGGTGGCGCGCAGTGAGCTCAATGTCCGCCTGCCTAGAGGTACGTGAGGATAGAGCATATGTCTTGGCTCTCAATCACATAGGTGCATACATATACAATGTATTATATATTCTCAAAAAATCAGTTGTTAATACTGGCATTAACAAGCCCTTGACAGGCGAAATTACCCTAATTTTTCCCTTTTTTCAGTCAATGTTTAACCATTTTACATTATATTGTTAAGGAAATATTACAATGTTATACATCTTTTAGGTTTAGGCAGAAAACTGAACCCCTTTTGACTTTAAATGACTGAATTGCCTCTAAGCTATACTGACATTGAAGCATTTTGGTGCAGCTCTACTTTGCACCAACCTCCTTTGTTACCTCCTCCTCTTGCTCAGGTTTTGAGCGTCGGCCGTTGAAGCACCCATCTTGCCCAGACGGGACAGAGAGGGATAGCGGCCCTCCTAAGCCCCCGCGCACAGGCACCGTCCCCGCCCTGGTGCCCAAACCACCCTCCTACCCGCTGGTCAAAGTGGTGGGCAAGTTCTACACCCTGAAGTGCCGGTATATGAAACTTGTGTCTTGGGATATAGCTTTCCAGGACCCAGGAAAAACTGTTCAGGGCTCTTAGCATTAGAAATTTGGAGACTGTAGCATTAATAGGACTGTCTGCCTATGTTTTAAATAGTCTGTTAATCCCCCAAGCAGCAATCCCTGTTCCCACGCCCTGTCGAGCAGTACTCCACTTTTAGTTGCTAATGCACTATATTGAGAAGAGCGAACCATTTGGGATTTTCAGGGAACATGAATGAATGCTTAAGTTCTGATATAGCTGCAGCACAAGTGGCAGAATGGGCCGCCCCTGAGAGACAGAGAATCTGGCTTAGCGGCATCGGATTGTGTTTTATCTCTTTGTGTTAGAGCATAAGTAGTTGCATTCATTTTACTGGCTATCGGTAACGCCGTAAGTGATAATTTCCAGCCTAAAAAGTGTGTTTTTGTTCATCAGATTCTGTGAGGTCGAGTTCCACGGTCCACTGTCGGTGCAGGAGGACTGGATCAGACACCTCCAGCAGCACATTCTCAAGATGAACTACAACAAGCCCGCTGCTGCCAAAGCAACAGCCACCGAACCACCTGCCCTAGCTGACGATCCTGTGCCGGTCCAGGCCTCTGTCCCAGCCTCCACCTCTACCTCCAGAACCACCTCTACCGCACCGGCTCTCACTTCCACCTCAAACAGCAACACGACTCCCAAGAGCCTCTCCCCCTCGCCCGTGGACGAGTGCGCTCCTGCCATCACTGCCACAGAGATAGTTCAAGTCTCAGAGGAGCAGCCAACCCTAACTCCAACTCCTATTCCTCTCCCCACCCAGACAGCGTAAGCTCACATTCATCACCTGTACTCATTTTATTTCTTCCAGTTTCTACTTGTTCACCCGTTTCTGTCCTTTGGCCTTCACAAAGTGGTGTTTAGGAGGAGCATTCTCCCTCCCAAAGAGCCCTCTGAGCCCCAAGCACCTTTTGAAGCAGCTTTCTAGACTGTTACTAAGTCCCGTTGCCATGAGAACGAAGCTCCACTGGCTTATCTGCACACCAGGGATGGGTGATTACGGGAAATGTCCAAGGTTATAAGGAGAGATGGACTAATGTTTGTGTTTGCCTTGTTTATATTGAATGTTCAGATGTGGATCGTTACTGTACCTCTCTCATTCACTGGGCGATTTAGGGTTTAATATAACCCTTTATTAAACTTTAACACCTTGTCTACTACAACCTTCCCTCCAATCTTCTACTTATGAACAGCGCATTAAAAGACCTGTGAGATTTTGACCATTGCTACCAGGATGTTGGTAGCTTTGACTGACTGAGATTAAGCGACAGTTCTAATCATGCTAGTCTTGCAGTTCAGACTTTAAACATGTGATAACACTTAGTGTTAATAAAGGCACTTTTAATGTGGACACTCAGCACTTAATGATACAATTTGAATAGGTTAATATGATATAGGGATGCACCGATATATGGGCCTAACACTGATATTGGTCGATATTGGCCTCGTTGAACGATATCTGCTCATTGGCAAATAAGATGGGACTTACAGGAATCGGTGGCCTGTTGTGATTAAAGGGACACAGCATGGGAAAACCAGACTAAAGTCACAAAATTTTTAAATTAAAAATTCAAACTGTGCCTGATCTTTGAAATATTGTGGTTTGAATTGACCACAGGTAAAAGATGGAAAACATTGCCAGCATCACCTAGGAGGCAAATTTTTCTGGTTGACTGGCTCAGCTGTGGGGTTTTCCCCCAAGTGCAATTTATTTTCAGTTTATCCATCAGAAAATGTTCAATAAACTAAATTTTTAGGCATAGTTTGAATAAATATTCCAGACAGTAAAGTTAAGGTAACAAATATTGGAAATATTGAAAAGTCAATTAATAAATATTTCTTTGTTCTCCTAGAACGGGGGTCTGCAACCATTTCTGTCAAGAGAGACGGCTTTGAGCAATTTTTGTTCAAACCTATTTGAGGATTTTAATGAAACCTAAATTAAAAATGAAAGACACGAGTGAAGTATAAATTAGCATATCAACCTTACTAGTAGGGTAAATAATTAAAATCTTTATCATGTGTGAGGTACCGGTGATCATCCTTACTTTAACTTTGCACTACAGTAATTCCTTGTGTTGCAACATTTATAAAAATTTTAGAACTACAGTGAAAATTGATTACTATCGTTTTGGATTGCCAACAAAATGAAATAATTATTAAGCACTGGAAAAAAATTCAATTAGCATGTGTTTACTTGAAATTAGACATAAAGCTATGCAGGCCACTGCTAGCGTTTTTGCAAATGAATCGCATTAGAAACCTTTTTGATAATAAAGTAACATCAACCAAACAGCTTTAAAATTAGTACAAGTAAAAATCCCCATTTTAAATTTAATGTTGACTAAAATCTAGTTTAGTAGGAGGCAGTGCTCCTTTTTTCCCCCTTCAGCTACAATCAACCATCTGATCTACAAACAATCACATTGATATCCGCTAATAAATACAAAATTTAAACTTGAGCTCACTGATATCAGCCAGTTGAGCCTATCTATATTGTCTTTTAGAACAACCAGTAAATGAAAATTAAACTAACGATGAGGTGGGAGAAACACCCTTCATGTTATGAATGTTATGAGTGTTGCACAGTTTGGCCACCAGAGGGCACTCTGCAACTTCACTGTTGGCTACAATGTATAGAATGCCACAAAAACAACAACCAGCTGATGCAAGGAGTCGGGCAGGGCAAAGAAATAATTGCACATAACAAATGTTAGACAAATCTGCGTATGTTTCGTGCGTCTGAAAGCACAAAAATATTCGAGTTTTTAAAGCACCAAATATCAGTACCGGTGTCAGTCTTAAAAATCCTGTATTGTTCATGCGTCAAATTTAAAAAATGTGTCATAGGAAGTGAGCAAAAGAACCACAGGTTTGCAACCCCTGTCCAAGAACAACAAAAACATAAACAAAATTAGATAAATTGTTACCTGTAAGGTCCCGGAGTCAGTGCATCCCTAATGCGGATTGACAAAGACACATTCCGACTGACTGAAGGAACAAAAAGTGGAAGCACACCCAAAAAGGGAAACTCTTTACTCTATGAAGTAATACTCTCCCCAAAATATATGTTTTGCTTGAATGTAGCTTAAAGCACCTGTCAAAACCTTAAACGCACACATTCATACTCAAATCAAACACAAGCCCTGTACTACAAATCAGGTAACAGTTTTATCTTTCACGATGTTACCACTCCACAGCCTGCTGTTTTCAACAGATAGGGCTGCAGTTGCTTTTTAATCTTGGAGACGTGAGGCCACAGTGTTCAAGGTTACACATCTCCATTCACAGTGTTGCCATTTTCTACCTGCCTTTTTCAATGTAACCCAAATTATTTATTTATTATGTTGCTTCTGAATGTGGTAAGCTAGGTCATTTAAAAGCTAGAGTATAACTTAGGAATGTTTTTGAAAATAGGCCGGCGGTGCGCTTTTATGCCAGCGCGTTCGTTTGTATGTCGGTGTACATACAGAGCAAATGTGCATTTGTTTCCCCATTTTAAAAGAGAGAGAGAGAGAGACAGACGTAAACGTGCTCAATACAAAGACACCTCATTAAGGTCAAAACGAACTAAATGTGGGAGCCTGTCTGGACTTACATGCATCCATCGTCTTGTTAGGATGTGCCAAAGAGCCTGTTTACTTCCCTGTCTTGCCTCTGTAAAAGCTGTTTACATTGGACCTGATGGTGGAGGAAACTCTGCACAGCTACCGGGTTCCCCCAGGGCCCCCCACGCAGAACAATGGACTGAACCAACGGTGGATCCCCCAGTTTTAAAGACTCGGGCTGCTGAAGCGGCTTCTCGTTTCTGTGGGGGTTAGATTTTTCCAATTAAACGTGAACACAAGCCAAACTTGATTACAAAGCAGGGCTCTGGAGAACCGTCAGCCCTCAGTCCAAATGCAGAAACGCAGTCAACCTCGGCCTCCTGAGGATCGGAGGTCTGTAGTCTCTCTCATATCAACCTTGAACCGAAGCAGTAACTCAAAGGGTCCATGTAGGCGGGCAACCTTTTAGAGTTTGTTCCAGTGTTGCCCATGCTTGAAACATGACTGTTTGATCCAAACGATACCCTTAACCCTTTTATGGAGTATAGATGCATACTATATACAGTAACTACATGTACTTAAGAAACTGTTGATGCTAGTAGAGCCGTCTGCAGTTCTATTAGCGAGGTAGTTTAAAAATTAAGTGATCTTAATTCCTCTATTGTGATTTGATTTCAACATTTGATGCTATGTATTTTTTATTGCTCTGTGCATTTCTGTATTTGCAGTCCTGCAAGGTGAATCTTAGAGTATTTTTTATTTTATCTGTTAGTCTCTCCCAGCTGAAACTTTTGGTGCTGGCGAGTGCGTTGTAGGTCGGGAGCTGGTTGAGTGACTGAACGCGAGGAAGACCTTTTAATATGATTGTCACGTCCTGGTATCAAAAGGACTCTAATAAGCGGGCCTTAAAGGGGACCATTTTGCAAGGTGAGATATAATTCTTCCTGTCTGCATTCACAGAGTAATAGACACTGTTGCCTCCTGCAGGTTTGTGGCTGCACTGCTGCGTGAGGTGTGAATTGGAGACCGGTGCATTATTAGTTCCCTTTTAAGATCACCCGATTAAGCCTCAGCTGGTGTAACTGGCTGTTTTGTGTGCGTGCGTGTGTGCGTGTGTGTGAGAGTGTGTGTGTGAGTGTTAATAAAAAAAAGATAGATGACGATGTTAACTGAGAAGAAAAAGATGCAGTCAAGAAAAGAACTGTACTGTACACGAAGGGTTAAGTTTTAAGTAAATCAACTCCAGAACAAACAATAAATGTGATTTCAGTTTCAGACACCGAATCTTTGTCTTTATTGTTATGTTGTTGCGTCACACGGCGGTGATGTTTGACGGCTGTGTCAAAAGCCTTTGGTTAATTGTTTTATCAAACCGCTAGGGGGAGCTAGAATACAAGCTCCAGTTTGCATTCATTTCAAGCAGGTTTGGGATGCACCCCAGCTGTAGGTGGCAGGAGGGAATATTAGTTAGCAGTGTTTAAATGATCTCTGTCTAAATCACAGAGCGTAAATAATAAAGTAGCAAAGTTACTTGAGAACGGTGATCAGGATCAAAATGCCACGGCTTCAGCAGGCGTCGATACACAGCCTTCAATTTTCATTCTTACCCCTGGAAAAGAACTAAAACTGAACACTGAGCTGCTCTGGGGGTTTTGATCATGACAGCTTCCAGAAGGGAAATCGAGTAAAGTGAAAAGGGGAAGCGGACACATTTGTGCATGCTCTAATTTCTCCATCATACATAGGACCGATGTTAATAAAAAGAAAAACGCTATAACACAATATAATGAAAGCTATCCACTTCTTCAGATTAATGTCAACACATGACATACGACGTGTGTTATTCCTCAAAAAAAAAAAACTAAACCAAAATGCAAAAGCAGCGTGTAAAAAGCTCCTGATCCAGCTGCCTGTACAATCAGCTTTAGCAGTGAGAACTTGAAGTAGTTGGTTTCTGTATGACTTTATGAGTCTCTCACATCACAGTGAAGGAATTTTCTTTACGGGTTTGCAGGAATTCATTTATTGATAGCTGTCTTAAGATCCCGCTCAGGTCGACTTTGACTGGACCATTGCAGCACTAAGCTTCTTTTCTTTTTCAGCCACTTTACTGTAGATTTGCCGCTGTGCTCAGGATCAGTTTCCTGTTCCATGACTTTGTTTCAGCCCAGTTTTAGCTGTTATTTGACTCCAGATTACTTTGGTGTAGCAAGAAGTTCATGCTGGACTCATCACCCCTTCACACCCTTTGTGTTTGTTCAGATGCTGCTTTGCCAACCTAAACCATGTTCTTTTTAGGAAGAAGAGACTTTCTACTGGTATCCCTTCCAGACAAGTCATCCTTTTTCAGTGTTTTTCTTTTCTTTTTACTCTCATGAACTTTTAACATGCTAACTAAGGCCCGCAGAGTCTGAGATGTAGGTCTTGGGTTAGTTGCAGATTCTCTAGGCATTGCATGGTATGACCTCGGGGTGAATTCACAGGGAATTCTTCAGGGAAGATTGGAAAGTGTCCCAAAGCTTTTCCACTTGTAAATTATCTTCCTTACTATTGAATGATTGACTTGAAATTATTTGGAAATGGGCTCAGAACCCTTTCCAGACTGACGAGCAGCTACAATTGTTTTTCTAAGGTCGCTGCCGAGGTGATTAATTGATCAACTGCTAATGATCAATTGATCAAGTGCATCTGAGCGGCAGCTCTGACTGCTGACTGCTCTTAATTCCCGTGGAAGCAGTAAAGGTGCATTTAGTTTGTCACACTCTGCTTCTGCATTATGGCTTTGTTTTTGTTAAATAAACGATGACCAGAGATGTGGCACACCTGCACCAGGGCAAACATCCGCCTGCTATACAGGTTAAAATAGAGCAACAGGACCGCTGAGTCTTTGATTTTATTTATTTTCTGCTGTGTTTCACTTGCATTTATTTGAAAGACTGAGTATAAACACAAAAAAATATTTTATTTTATGTGCTGGAATGTGCAGAAAATAGGTTTAAATGTTAAACAAATTTCTGAAAAAAATTTGTGTTTTTAAAAAGTAACTAAGTAACTAAATACTTTTGAAAATAAGTAATCAGTAAAGTAACGGGATTATTTTTTTTGGGAAGTAATCAGTAATTAGTTCCTGATTACTTTTTTCAAATAACTTAACCAACACTGACGATGACACAGTGTAATATGTCGTGTTGTTGTTCACCGAGGTTGCACCTAACTCATTTTAGACCTGCTAAGGACCAGATTGTTTTTATGTCCTGATACTTACAATCTTAGAACTGATAGAGGTGGCACTCTGACTGTGTGCTGTGTGAAAAGGTTTACCTGCACTCAGCTTCACAGTTCCCGTAGCTCTGCGGAGCACTTAATAGCACGTTAGCATCTTTTATCCAGTAGCAACAAAAACAATGTAACGAGCTGTTGAACAAAGCAGAGCACTCAGCAGCTAAAGGAGAGAGAATATTGGACTTTTATTTCCCAAGTGATAAACATGCCTCTAAATGAACGTCAAGCATCCGTCTCCCAAATACATAGCCACATCAGAGAGCTTTGGAGATCGGGTTTTCCATGTACATGGTGAGTTGATCTAGGAGTCTAAACACAGCCCTGTTAATGCTTGTTTATTTTTGACATAGCAGCTAACATTTATTTCTTTCACTCTTTTTTTGAAAACCCTGTTTTAGGTCTTCACCAGTGTGAGAGAAACAGTTTATCCTTTCAGCTACACCAAACTCTAGCGGCTGACTCAGTCAGTCTGTGGTTTGATGCTGAAGAAGTAGCAGTAAATAGAGCAATTTTACAAATAATAGCTTCCTGCTGCAGGTAAAACAAGACATTGAGAACAGTGAGAGTGACTCAAAAGAGACTCTAAAAATCTATACTGGAGTTGATGGGAAGTAGAGAACTGAGTAACAATTCTTCCTGTGTTTGTCAGTAGAAGCAATGCCTTTCAAATACAAGTAAAAATGCAATCCAAGCTTAAGACAAAACTGTTGCTTGAAGACGTGGATCCAGGAGAAGATGTCCTGGGTGTCCGGTCACAAAACGGTTCATTAATGTCTGTCACTCAAGTTCATTTACCTCTTCACTGAGAGAAAAGGGTCACTGTTCATGAATACAGTTACTCTGAGTCCTGTTATTCTGTGATGAAACATTTCTATCTTGACGGAAATGATCTCCTCCAGGATGACCGTGTCTCCATTCAGAGGGTCACTGCGTGTTTTGAGGAGTATGAAAATGATGTGAATCATCTGGTCTCTACCCCGGTGAAGACTGAGGAAGAGTTTTGTCACCTATCTATACACAACCTGTTCAACCCCCCCCCCCCCAAATAAAAACAAAAAACCGGCAAATCCTCCACAGGATACTTTTTCAGATGCCTGGATCATTAGGAGAGTGCTGCGTATTTGTACTCCTACAACATGTGCTCAGCAGCTAGCTGCTGATTTATTCTGCTGTTGCTTGCGATATTGGATCATGTGTTTGTTAAAATCCCTGTGAAGACATACATTGTGTGCCGATCAAGTCAGAAAGTGGAAAAATATAACATGTATGAGATCATTCTGGAGTACTCATCATTAATTAACATCACTGATTTCACTTCAAGACATGAATGTGGCTAACAAACATCGATCCAGGAAGCACAAAACATTTAGTCCGTGTCTGTCCTGCAGGGTCATTTGTCTCCTCCTGGAGCTTATTGGCAAACATTCGTAGCCCTTGAAAATGTACCAAAAACACCCTCCTCGGGTGTTTTTGTGCATTTTATTTTAAATTTGGTGATCGTTTTGGCTGTACTACAGCTGGTGGCATGACGTTTTGAGGGAATCTTTTTAGCAAAATGTTATCCATACTCTGATGATGTATTTGGCAACCTTTGTGTTCAAAAATGTACACGCATAAAATCTGTCATAAAATCTGTCATAAAATCCTCATACAAGAATATTTTTTTCGGCTTTTTTTTTCATAAACCACTTAATCAACTCAAGCCCTTATCAAAATGATCAAAAATTATATCATTTTCACAATTTTAACTCTTTAAATGCCAGTATCTCTCCAGGTACTGCTTCCTCTCATAGTCCACAGTCCACGTCCCTTTATTTTCCAATGAAACCACTTTTTTAATCTCTTTGCCTTTGCAGTTTAAAACTATGTATTCTGTAAGTCAGTATTTCATTTAGAAGAAAACTAGTGATATCTGACATTTCTACTGTTTTCCAACAGATTGAAACCTTGCTCACATTGCAGGCTAATGCATGAAATGCTTGTATTTTTTGTATTTTTCTGTGTGTGTGTGTGTGTGTGTGTGTGTGTGTGTGTGTGTGTGTGTGTGTGTGTGTGTGTGTGAGAGAGTGAGAGAGAGTGTGTGAGTTTGTAAACATTTTGATAGTTGAAAAAGTCATCTTGTAGGGATGAGTTTGAAGAGGTGCTTCTGCCTCTGCTGTCCTCAAAAACAAACATTCAAAAAATACAGAGATTATTTAGCAAATTCTGACTCCAGAGGATGAGCCACAGTGCACCCATGTTGTTCTCTCTATCTGCAGCCGAGCAGATTATTTAAAACATGTATTAACCTTTATAGGTTACCGATAGTGTCCGTAATTGGTAAATGACGTTTTTTTTTCTTTTTCTTTTTTAGAAAAAGAAGTCCAGATGTGCCAATTTTATTCTGGAACTTGAAAGCAGCTTAAATTTGTGGCTCTGTGTGAAGCAGGTCTCAAAACCTCACGTAGCCATGCGACATGATCTGTGCGTATCAGGCGGTTCGTCCACACGTATAGGTTTTGTGAGCGAGCGAGAAGTCAGAGAAGTGACATGGAGTTTTAGACATTTGTATGCACAGAAAGGTAAAATGAGTTGTGAGTTGAACTTATAATAAATTGTGCGTAAATGGTGAGTACTTATTTAAGTTTGGATGTACGCATTTGTAAAATACTTTTAAGAGTGCTCAGATTGCTTCGTATTTGTGTGTCTTTCAATCACTCTTGGAGCCTCTGATGGTCACAGGGCTCCATAATATAACAGGCAAAAATACAATAATTTCATTTATTGACCTACAATGTGAACAAGGTTTAATCTGATGGAAAACAGAAGAAATGTCAGATATCACTAGTTTTCTTCAAAATGAAATACTGACTATACAGAATAGTTTCATACTGCAAAGGCAGAGATTAAAAAATGTTCCTTGGAAGTGAAAGGGGTGTTTTTGGCCATGAAGGTGTCGAGAGTATCTGATACTACACAAAAAAAATTCCAATCAAATCAGTTTTGTTGCTAAT